ACCAAACAAACCCAAACGAACAGGGCGAATATATATGGAAGGGATACGATGTCCAGCCGAATTTATTACGGTACTACTTCATTTTCACCCTTACCCAACAGCCTGGAGTCTTTTTGCTTTGTATCTCAGGTTATTGTGTTTTTTTATCAATCAATTCAATCAATATGGATATTTTTTGCCTGGTTAACCAGGTGATTTGTCGGCACGCGATGGCGCGCGTCACTTCCTCAAACGCGAATAAAATGGAGCTCTCTCCGTGGTTTAGGCACTGTTAGGTACTGTTTGTGTCTTCAATTGTTCAGACGCCGCTTAACTACTTCAATTAAAGGCTGGCCAGCCCCACCTATGGGGACGTGCCGCGTGTGCCCGCTCAGTTCGTGCAGCGCCTTTGGCCTTCCCGCGTTTAATTCCGGTCAGCCAAAAACACGGACCATCTATTCGCAGCAAAAACAAAAAAAAAGGCATCTTGCCTCGCCGCCGCCGTCGCTTCCCCGACGCCAGCGCGTACAGATGCCGCTCCTGGCCCTGCCGGAGTCTACACCTGCGGAGCGCTTCATCGCCTCTCTCTCCCCTAGAGGCGGGGCGCGCCGATGCGGTGACCGGCCCTACCGGCGGCTGCGCTGGCGGGATCCATGGCGGAGAGGCGGCGACGGCAATGGCACTTGGGGCAGGAAGCGCCCACTAGAGGCTGTCCTCATCCTCATCTCCATTGCCATGTCGGCCATGGGTCTCCCCCAAAGCCCCAGGTATATCTCGCTGTCATCCTCGAATACCTCGCCATCGTCCTCGAGTACCCCGCCAGTCGTCGTCGTCGTCGTTGTTGTCCTGACAACAATAGGTTCGTCCCCTCCTTCTATATCTCTCGATCTGCGTCGGCAACAACCCCTTCTCTCCTAGGCCAGGCCCTTTCCTTCTTCCTTCTCTGATTTCCTCAAATTGTACTAAGGCTCAAGCAGACCAGCGCGTTGATCTGGTGTGACGGGAGGACTTCGTGCGGCTGACGGCACATGGCGGACCCAGAAGAAAACCCTGCTGCGGTGTCTCTGTTCGTCTGGCTGAAAAAAAAAGGCAGCTGATGCTGATTTATTTTAAGAGAAAAACGCTGAGCTAAAAAGAACACCGATAAGTTTAGACGAACATGGTCGAAGAGGTCCAGCAGGCAACAGGACCTGTGGCTGTTCATCCATGCCAAACGACCAAGCCGGCTAGCCAAACGACCAAGCCAGTTAGCCATGCCTCTCTGCTCAACAGATACACACAACATACTTTAAGGTTAGTGCGCATTTCAATGTGTAGATTGGATACCAGGAATTTTACTGAGGTTATAGTTTTTTACTTTGTACCTTCCTTCATCTGCTTATACCAATCAGTAGTATTTAAATTAAATTGTATATATATTCCTGTGATTCTGGTAACTATGATGCATATATCATATATGGTTGCAGAAAGAAACATAGGGTGATACACAGTAGCATAATAAAACGAACCCTCCTCTTTCACAGAACCAAGCATGCTCCCAGAATATCGACAGAAACAATCGCATAGTCGCACAAGCAGAATCAAGCATCAATCCTCCTCCAGTGATTCCTACGAAAAATGCTAGATACAGCAAAAAAGTTGACTAACATGGGGCGACTTTTGTTCATTGGCATTCTGTATCTGATAAAACCATTGACTGAAACTATATTGAAGACGGTGTTTCTCTTAAACTACTCTCTTCCACGGTGGCCTGGGGCTGGACGATCACTTCACTTCTTTTGTTTGCCCCCCACATTCAGCTGCTGGAGCCCAAGCAAAAGGTCCCTGGAATCAAGGAACACCTTGTTGCTTGAGGCCGCCATGGTGTGGGAGATCTCCCTGGCCGCTTCAATCTGTCTCAGTGCCAGGAAAGCGGGGTTGTTGGCAATGGCTTGACCAATCAGCTCTGCACTCTTAGCCTCACCCTGTTCAAACGCAAGTCACAAACAGACAGCGATTCAGAATCATCAGTGTAAAAAGGGAATAATGCAATGGTACATACACAACTGCATATGAGAAACTGAAACTACAGGCATATATTTAACATCTCGATAGAAGTGGATTGAAGTCATTGCATTTCTTTTTCTTGTAATTACTTGTTTCAAGCCAGACAAAGGACATGCTTATACAAGAAAGGGTAGCTACTAACCTGTGCCCTGATGATTGCACTGCGCTTGTCCTGCTCGGCCTTCTCAACAATGAACTTGGCACGCTCAGCTTCTTGCGCAGCAACCTGTTTGGCTTCAATGGCATGAGTAAACTCTTTTCCAAAACTGAGGCTTGTGATGGACACATCATCCAGAGCGATATTGAAGTTGTTGGCCCTCTCAGTCAGAATCTTCCTAATCTCCCTGCTCACAGCCTGCATTGGAATTGAATGCATGAATTGTTAACATATCCTAATCTACTGCAATCCTGGCAAGACAGTTGTTATCTAGGGAACATGTCTAAACACATGAAACAGTACCTCTCTCTGTGTGATCAGCTGACTGGCATTGTATTGAGCAACCACAGCTTTGAGTGTTTCATGAATGATTGAAGGCAGAACTCTCTCATTGAAGTTCTCCCCCAGGTTCCTGTAGATTTTAGGTAGATGATCTGGCATGGGTCGTGTAAGAACACGAAGACCAATTCTCACCTGCCCAAGTTACCAACTCAATCAAAATCAAATACATATAAAAGAATGACAGTGCTGACGTACTTTTTGGCAGAAGTGAAAAAACAAGAAAATTGCAAAGTACATACACACGAAGACAGACGCACATGGACAGTATCTCTCAGAATACAACAAAACATGAGCAGAACTTGGTAAATGGTGATGACAACGAATATGATGAACCAAAGCTGGATTCACTCGCAATATTAAAAGGCTATAAAGGGCTCTGAAAAGTTCAAGAAATTTGCACAAACTATCATGTGCTTTGTAATGTTTAAGTAAAGAGCCGAAACAACACCTCATATCACATTTATTCAAGTGCTCCTCAGAACAGATTAATGCACAACAATATACAAGTTGAAATGAACAATTCAGTTACTGGCAGTCAATGGGCTACATCTTACTCGATCCACGACCAATACCAAGGGGTACGTTATACGAACTGCTATGGGTGCAGCAGAACAGGGGTTCAAAGTTGATACTGCCAAATTAGCCATTAAATCCATGCACATATCAAGGGGCAGCAATCAGTTCAGAACCATAAAAAATCACTACAAGCCGCAGTCAACATCATCTCAACTATTGCTACTAGAGCAGTACATTGACTACAAAATGAGTGGACAGGTAAATGGGGAATCGAGAAGGAAACTTACCATCTGGAGGTCGCGGCTTCCGGAGGTGCTCTCGACGAGGTTGGGTCTGGCGCGGACGTCGTAGATGATCGGCCTCTCGATCCACGGGATCATCAGGTGAGTTCCTTCGGGGTACACCTGCGCCGGAGAACGAAATGCAAATCGGTAACCCACCCAGTCAAAACCACGCTCACACACATCGCGCCGCCACTGCGCGGCCGCGACCGAGAGAGGCGCGCCGAGATGGCCCTCACCTTGTCCTTGATACCCTCGAGGCGGTTGAAGACGATGGCCCGGTGGCCGCCCTCGACGTTGTAGAAGCTGTTGAGGACGGCATAGAGCCCCGCGCCGCCGAGCACCGCCACCTTCACGAGCGCGCTCCCGCCCTTCGGCGCGCTCGGCAATTTGGCTCCCTTGAGGCTGTCCATCTCGCCGGCGGAGGAGGTCGCCGGCGGGGGGTTTAGCTAGGGTTTTGAGTAGTTGGGGTCGGAGATGGCGGAGGCGTACAGGTGGAGACGGAGGTGGAAGACGAAGGAGAGGGGAGGCGCGTGGCTTAAGTGGAGCGGGGTGGGGGCATCGTGGGCGTTGGATCTTTGATCGGACGGTCGAGAAGAGGCCGGGGCCCGGTTCTTTCCTCCGCTGCACGAAAGGATGCTGCTGGTTTGTCTTGCTGTGCAAGAAGATGGTTTCAGCGTTGCTTTCTTAGGTGCAAAGTTGATAATTTTTATTTTTCTCGTGAGGAAATTGACGGGAAATTTTTCTATATATTTATTTCTCCTCAGAGAGGTTGTGAGAAATTCATCTGATTTTAGCGGATTTTGAACCGTAGTGACCGCATTGCATAATAGGAAGGCACTGAATTTGGCTGTAATTTGGGTAAACAAAACACTAGTAGCTGTCAGCTTGTTCGTTTGGCTGTGGCTTATCATAAACGATCGTAAATTTCCAGCCGGAACAGTATTTTTCTCTCACATAAACCAGCTAACAATCTTCTTTGAACCAGCCAACCGAACAGGCTGTGTCTAGTTGGCAGCCTCTTTCCTGAATGGCGGCATCATCATCCAATGAATCACTCACTCTCATGCAACAATGTGTCTCATATGATCCAACTACCTTTTTTTTTCTCGAATTAGCAAGGCTTGCACATCATTGTATGAAGATTAAGAGTGAAAGTTACAACGACGCAACGAATATGGCGCACGCCCAACAACTTTTACTGCACACAGGCTTCACATAACCAACAACCTGTTCGTTTGATCGTATTTGACTTATAAGCCATGGCTTATCAGCCAATGAACAGTATTTTTCTCTCATACCAAACCAGGCAACAGTACTTTCAGTCATGGCTTATAAGCCAAACAAGCTCAAACGAACAGGGCGCAAATCTTGAAGCCAGTTCAAAAGAATTTACGGAAAAAATCAAGCCAGAGATTGCATGGAAAAAGTAGACAAAAACTTCACAAGCCTCTCACAACACTGCAACCGAAACTTCCAACCTCAAAGCCAACTGCACAGCACACACTTGAACCTCACATCCTGGAACACAGCTCTAGTAGTGTATCTCATCCACACAAAACTCTGAAGAAAGAAAGGGGAGGAAGGGAAGGACGAAAGGAAAGGAGAAGCTACAGCTTTACATGCTTCCCTCAGGGTGGCAAACAGTGGGGGGAAAGGGGCAAAAAGACCGGTGAAAACTAGGTCCGTAGCGCCATGAACAGACTCTGCCTTCTCGAGTGCTCTGGGACAAGGCGTTTGACAACTTCTGGGGGAACACCTTTCAGCTCTGTCAGGATTGCAAACATCTGATCAGTTAGCTGAGAACAGTATTTGAAGCATCTAGGTTTAACTTCTAAATGTTAAGGGAACAGAAGATTAACTACTGACAGAAAACAACACTGCTGTTTCAGTACAACTACGCTACCTTGAGATCTGAAGTTGAAGAGAGGCGGCAGAGGCCGACCATTCGGTAGACGAGTGTTTGGGTCTCTCAGCTCATCAAAGAAAGGGTGCATACAGGCTTCCAACTGAAGAACCACTCATCAGTTAGAAGAATGAAATTGCACAAGGAATCATCTTAGATAGATAGTGGCGAGAACATAAAAGTGCATGCGGCCTTACAGCAGTGCACCGTAGATTTGGTGAGTACTGTAGAAACCTGCTAACAAGATCCACTGCTTCAGGTGGAAGCCTTCTTTGAAAAACCTGGATATAAGAGAACCTTGAGATGACACAGGAATCACGAGAAAAATATGCTCATTCAGTTTTGTGCCTGCGCGTATGTGATGTGGACATTGATTGCATGCTGGACTTCAACAGTAATGGTAAGCGACAACAGTTTATTTGAATTCTAAACATCAAAATTTTCCAGCAAATTTCACATTTAAAAGCACAACAGTCATATAATGTACATATCTGAAATATCCATGTTCCAAAGGTATGCACTAAGCTGCATAAATGTGTCCGTTTGTGCATATCAAGCATCCATTTTGCATGTGACTTAATTCCAGCTAAACATCACTGTGATGATACAGAGCTAAATTATCTCCATGTATATTTAATTACCTTGTGCCACGGATGAGCTTTAATTTGTGGGAACTTGAACTCCATGTAGTTTGGATTCATGCACTTGATCTCTTCCCTTGTTGGAGTACCCAAAACCTGCAAGATGCAGATGCTATGCCTCAATATGTCATGGTGCAAAAGAAGGTAGCAAAACGGTGGAGATATGGATACCATAAGAAAATCACCTTGATGATCTCAACTAGTTGGTCGACTCCACTTTCTCCAGGAAACAGAGGCTACATGGATGAATGCTATCAGAAGAAGCAAAAAGGTAAGAAGCAGAGGGAGGGAAACTGAACATGCCAGACCTGTCCTAGAAGCAGCTCTGCCATGACACAGCCTGTTGACCACAAATCAATAGCAGTAGTATATTCCGTTGCCCCAAATATGAGCTCTGGTGCTCGGTAATACCTTGAGCATATGTAGGAGATGTTTGGCTCTCCTCTGACCTGAATATTTGCAGAAATGCCATCATGGAGATTTATGTATAAAAAAAAAGTACCATATCTAGGTAGGTCACCTGCATGTGGTGTGGAACTGTGTGTTTGTTTACTCTTCCAGGTAAAGTAGTGTGTGTTGATATATAACATTCTTGTGCATTTACCAGTGGCCAAAATTAGAAGATAACTCACCAATACTTTAGCACTTCCAAAATCGCAAATTTTGAGTTGGTGTGTATGTGGGTTAACCTACAGTAGAAATATTAGCAAAATGTATCAGTCATCATACATATATAATCCACTATTCCTGAGGTAAAGAAAAGGTCAAGTAGCAAAACAGTAGCTACCTCAGCATTTAAAGGAGACAAGATTAATAAAGCCCTTTAGACATGCAGAAAAACAAGGCAATTATGGAAACCTTGTATGTACTCTACAATTGTCAGTGTATGTATAATTATTTGAGTTTTAGTTTCTCCTGCTTCCTCGAACAATCTCTAATCTATGCGGTTATGGAGTCATGGTGGGTTAACAAGCTATCTAGTTGCATTGATCTTCCATGCTCCTTTCTGAGGCTCACAGTTTGCTCAAATAAATTTTAAATTAGTTTAGCAATACGCATTAGTGCAATGTACAGAAGCAATTGACATCTGTGGAACTGGGAGCATGGTTTTTGTCCAGTCTTGTTATAAAAAAACAAATGATGACGAAATGTTCCAAAAGAGAAGGCACCATTGACAAGAAAAACAGCATATGTGCAACCTAGCAATAAAATGATGCACATGGGATAGCACCTATATATGAAACTAAATAACGCACAAGTGGATTAACGCTTCCAATTTCAAACTGCAAGTGCCATAGATGTTGGGTGGAACTGACTAATAATTATGACATCGGGCTACACATGATCTAAAAATTCAGTCCCACTTGTACAAACCAATTGCCATTTTATGGTGTTACCATACCATCCCAACGACAAAACATCCAACAAATGTGAATGATAAATGCAAAACAACATATTCATTATACAAAAGAAAGAGGTTCATATCTCACAAGAACATTCTGCGGTTTGATATCACGGTGGCATATGCCAATGCAGTTATGTATATAAGCAAGCGCTCGACATATCTGCAAAGAGATTTAGGACAAATTAGATAAATTAATGCACAGCAGAAATCTGCGATTGGATATGACACTAAAAGGTAAGTAAAGGCAGCTGGAAATTGTTTGACTCCAACAGCTGTATGGAGCAAACAGAATCATATTAAAACACATTACCAATCATTCTCACTGTCATAAAAGACAAAATACAGATGAATCAAAAGAAGATTTGAGCCATGCAAACAATCGTGCCTGCACTAATTGTAAGTCATACAATAAACGGCCCGTACTAGTCCTTGAAGAGTGGATTAAAGTCACTTTGTCAACTAAACTCAGGCATTTAAATGTCCTGTGGACATGCAGCGTAAACCCAAGTGATCATTCAAACGGGGCACTCTAAACATATAGGAAGCAAGTTGTAGAACATAAATCCAAAGACAGGATAATTGACAAGCTGTCCCCATTGGGCCTTTAAATGTCTCAATAATATTTATCTTAGATTCTTCATGGAAACAAACAATGTGAATCATTGATAGGCAACTTCAATAGCAGTTCCAAACTTCCAGTACAGTGCTACTGTTGAAGATAGACTTCAAGCAAACATGAGGCATATATATTTTTTAGATGAAGGATAAGACATAAATATGGATGCCAAGAAGATAAGATACCAATGTCACCACACTTCTAGCTTTACAAAATAGCACGTACATTAAAGTATTAACATGTTTAGTTTCAGGGAACAGACACACTCATACATGTATATTATCTTGATTTGCAACCCTATATGACTATTTAATATATAAGTCATGGGGACCCATGCTCTATTTTCTCCATTATTTTAAGTTTATTTCAAATGAAATGAACATGACAATAATGTCCTACAGAATCCATGATCCATAAGGTTGATTGCGGAACATGTGGCATGCACATGACCATTAGACAACACTACCAAACTAGTACCCCACATTTTCCTCTATCACCCTTGTCTTATTTAAAATCAGCTAAATGATACTAAAAGTGTGTCAGGGCTTCTAAGATGTTTTTTCTACTATTTCGAAAAATGCATAGGGAAAACGTGTTTTTTAATCGTGTGCAAAGGAAGTGCCATAACTAGAAGAAGATCAATGGTAAAACTGAGCGAAAAAATTTCTAAAGGAAAAACAGCATTTAACATGCATGATTAGTAAAAACCACCTAGTCAAGGCAGACCTGGTACGTGTACAGTTTGACAAAAATGAGGGGCATCCGCTGATTCATTCGGTTGTACTGCCTTGCAATCCTGTTTACTGTCTCTGGAACAAACTCAAGAACAAGATTGAGATAAAGCTTGTCCCTTTCAGTTGTTGAAAAGAAGTAATGCTTAAGACCGATGATGTTAGGATGGTCAAGCATATGCATGATTTGCAGCTCTCTGTTCTTATAACGCTTATCTTGAAGAACCTTTTTTATGGCAACAATTTCTCCTGTTTCTCGGCATTTTGCCTAAAGAGTTAATAATGAAATGGTTATATGCTTTTCACAATCAATTAGGCATAGGACAGTTCAGAAAACAGAAAGGTGGGTTGTTTACCTGATATACAACCCCAAAAGAACCAGTTCCAACCACATGTTCAGCGATGTATGTGACAGACTGTTTCACAGCACATATCATTATTTGTTGGATAGTTTTTACCTCCAAACAATTATATATATCAAGAATCAAAGCAAAATTACCCTCACCTGTTTAGGCAGGCCGTTGCGCCCACGAATTGTAGTCACTATTACATGACCAGCTTCATTACTAGAACTATCAGTCACATCTGAACTTGACCCCATCTCCTGCAAAAAAAAGGAAGAAGAAGAAGAAAGAAAGAAACTAAGTCTCTTCATATAACAAAACAAAGTGCAGAATTTATTCACCAGTTTCTTCTGATCCTCTAGATAGGCATGGCAGTATAAGTGGTAACAGCGTGAAGCAATAACATGTAACAGTGCCTTTTCAGGACAGGAGATTACATCTTTTTTGTATCCACTAATATGCAATGCTACATTAAAGGACCGCACATAAGGGAAAAGACAGGACTTGTACACGTATTTGACTGAAAGTGGTGATGAAGTGACCAAAACATTAACACCAATTTCAGCCATATGCCAATAAAAAAGTAGTAGAAACCTACCCTTTCATCATCTGTATCCGGCTTGGCACCCCTCAGTTGCATTCCCAGCATCTCCCTACCCAGAAACTCCACCGAGTTGGCTGCCCCCTTGAAATCATTCCCTGGCCTCGAGGAGCTCCCAACACCACCGTGCCTCTGCCCAGAATACGCCATACCTCCAGGCTCCAGCAATGTGGTAACTGGTAGGGCTCAATCGAGATCACCGAGGTCAGTGTGCGGTTTCATCGCTTTGTGGAAGATCAGCTTGCCAATTCCAATGCCTGGTAAATTAAATGAAAGACAACCGAATGATAAAAAAGTTCAGTCAGGATAATTTTGATGTAAAAACACAACAAATCTTCTGCAGGTGGTTCAAGCAATTAAGAGAACACACTAGAAGCACTGCTACTGTTGAAATATCAGTGTGTCCAGCCCCACACAGAGATCAAGCAAAACCCTTGAGTAAAAGAATGAACAGCTGCAGCTTTCTCCAAAATGGTGATAGATCAAACACGAAATTGGAGCGAAGATCCTCTCGGATAAACGGGACAATCCGTCCCAAGTCCAATACCTCCCGATAATTGAGCGAAAACCGCACCCAAAAAAGAGATAAAAAGGAAGTTTTTTTTTCTGAGGGTGGGGACTCGGATCAAAGAATCCATGGCCAGTACCTCAGACTGAAACCTAGCAGAGATCGGCGGCGAGCTCTTGCAGCAGATCAACAGCGGGCTCTTCACGGTCTGACGGTTCCTGCAGCAGCTCTGGCCTCGTCCTGGGGTTTCTTGCGTCGGTTGGGTGGGGGAGAGAGGAGAAGGCGACTAGGAGTCAGGACTCTGAAGCAAGCTGGTGGCGGGAGCGAGCGAGTGAGGCCATGAGGAAGCAACTGAGCAAGTGAGCTAGTGGAGGGCAGCTGCTAGCTCTTGGTCTCGGGTTGGGTCCTTCCAAACTTTTCCATTTCCGGTAAAAAAGAATTGGCGTGGCATGGAAGGACCAGAGAAATTTATTGGGGGAGATCATGGAAGTTGCAGGGGAGAGTGACTGTCTGAGGAGGTGGGGGAGATGCAGATGCCAACAAATCTGAGGCTGGTGATGCTTGCTGCAGTCAATTTGGCAGTAAAAATACTGGGGCTGATGGATGCGAGTTTGACTAGGAACTGACCAGGCTTTTGTTTGTAAGACTATCTCCAGCGACAACATCCAAAATAGAAGATCTATTTAATCTTTAGGTAGCGCTACAGTCAAATAATTCAATACTTATTTGGCATCTTCTTCAACAACAGGACAAAAAAAATCATTTCTGCAAATGTGTTTTCAGGAGAGATGATGCTCATATTTGGATTGTGTCTATCAGGCAACCCAAAATGGGTCTCCCGTATAGGTAATTTGTTGGAGGCTGATTTTTTTCTCTATTACCTATTTTGGATTTGGGTGTCCATATAAGTTTCTTGTTGAAGACGGTCTTAGTACTAGCAAATTGAGTTTTATTATGTGATGGAATTTTACGTCAAATTTTGTCATATACTCCCTCGGTCCCATTAAAAGTGTCGTTTTTTACTTTCAGACTTCGTGTTTAACCGTTCGTCTTATTCAAAAATTTTATGTAAATAATAAAATAAATAAATCATTATCAAAGTATCTCTAATGGTAAAATAAGTCATAACAAAATAAATAATATATAAATGTAAACATTGACTTTTTCAGCAAGAAAATGGCACATGAATGAAGTAGGAAAAGGACTTTTCTGGTGTATCTAAATGATGGTGGTTTGGCCTTGTTATTTCTTTTAATAAATAATAAAAAAGAATGATTTAGTTTTGTGCACAGGCATAGTTGGCCATGTAGCCCGAGCCCGCTAGCCCAGCCCAAGGCCCTTTTTTTGGCCCGGCCCAAGCACAGCCCGCCCCGACGGCTAATGGGCCCGGGCTGGCACGACCCGGAGGAGCAGGCCATGCCTGGGCCTTACCCCAGGCACGTGGGGCGGCACGGCACGGCCTGCTACAGAGCCGGCGGCCCGCCCTGTCGCCTCCCCCTCCTCCTCATATGGCCCCGTGCGGCCCCACGCCCCCACGCAGCAGCCATCACCCATCCTCGCTCCGCTCTCCTCTCCTCTCCCTCTCCCTCTCGGCCTCTCCGCTCTCCCTCCCTCATAACCGAGCTAAGGGCGTGGCGACGGCCCCTCCCCTCAGAACCACACGCATGGTGGCGTAGCGCGGCGGCCTCTTCCCGCGGCGTCCTCCCTTCTTCCTCTCAGGCGGCCTCCTCCCCACGGATCCACGCGCAGGGGCAGCGTAGAGTCCTCGTCCCCCTCGGATCCGTGCGCAGGGGCGGCGTAGAGGCCTCCTCCCCACGGATCCACGCGCAGGGGCGGCGTAGAGTCCTCCTCCCCCTCGGATCCGTGCGCAGGTGAAAGCTCTAGTTTGGTTTTGGTGAATTGATGAAACCCTAAGTGCTAACCTAGTTTATCAAGTGATCATGAGATAGGTAGCACACTTCAAGTGATGAAGCAAATGAAGATCATAGCATGATGATAATGATACCATGATGATGATCAAGTGCTTGGACTTGGAAAGAAGAAAGAGAAAAACAAAAAGCTCAAGGCAAAGGTATAAACCATAGGAGCTATTTTGTTTTGGTGATCAAGACACTTAGAGAGTGTGATCACATTTAGGATTGATAGCCGTACTATTAAGAGGGGTGAAACTCGTATCGGAATGCGGTTATCAAAGTGCCACTAGATGCTCTAACTCATTGCATATGCATTTAGGATCTAGTGGAGTGCTAACACCCTTGAAAATGTTTGTGAAAATATGCTAACACTTGTGCACAAGGTGATACACTTGGTGGTGTTGGCATATTTACAAAGGAGGTGGTGTTTGCAGGGTTGAGATGGGTTTGGGTCCCTCTCTCCCTCCCGCCGAGTAAGCTCGGCGGGATTCAGCGCTTTCGGGAAAATGGAATGCCTATTTTCTATTGCGCCGGATGCAAATTCCTGTGGTTGGCACATTGGAGCAAGGGTGAAGAAGTTAGAAGTGAAAATGAGTTGATCGCGAAGACGCTGGCGTCGGTCTACTGACCGAACGCTGGGTCTGAAAGCACCGGACCCTGGATGCGTGTGTCCGGTCAAACTGATGGGTCTGCGCAGTGCCGAGGGTATTGCACCGGACGCTGATCTGTGTCCGGTCAAGGTGGACCGGACGCGTCCGGTCGAAGAAATACGCCTCGGGGAGCTTACTGGAAACGACCGGACGCTGGGGCTTCAGCGTCCGGTCAACTACGTAGCCGTTGAAATCGGGCGATCGGCGTTTGAAGCCAATGACTCGTGGCGCTCATCGCACGACCGGACGCTAAGGTCCAGCGTCCGGTCAATTTGACCGGAGCGTCCGGTCGGCCTGTGTTCAGCCCAGTGAAGGGGTACAACGGCTCTATTTCATTGGGGCTCTATTTATAGCCCCATGGTCGGCTCAAGCTCACTCTCTTGCACATTTTCATTGACATAGCAACCTTGTGAGCTTAGCTAAAGTCCTCCCACTCATCTCCATCATTGATCCATCATCATTGTGAAAATATGAGAGAATCCAAGTGCGTTGCTTGAGTGATTGCATCTAGAGGCACTTGATATTCGTGTTGCGCTGCGGATTTCGCTTGTTTCTCTTGGTGGTTGCCACCACCTAGACGGTTGGAGCAGCGGTGGAGGATTGGCACGAGTTGGTGATTGTTCGTGGCCATCTCCGGTGATTGTAAGGGGAGTTGTACCTTCCCCGGCGGAGTGCCGAAAGGTAACTCTAGTAAATTGCTCGTGTCATTGAGTTACCTCACTTGTGGGTCGGTTCTTGCGGTGTCCTATTGTGTGGACGAGGTTTGTGAAACCCCTCTTAGCCGCCGAACCACCAAGTGTTGGTCGACACAACGGGGACGTAGCGTGTTGGCAAGCACGTGAACCTCGGGAGAAAATCGATTGTCTCCTGTCTTTGGCATTCTCCCGGTGATTGGCTATATATTCATCTTATGATTGGTTTATCCCCTACACGTCGGTATAATCATTCTACTCACTTATTTACATTCTTGCAAACTAGTTGATACAAGCTCTTTAGTGTAATTAGAATTGAGAGCTTGCTTTATTATTTATATTCATCTAGTTGAGCTCTTTAGAGTAGCAAGATTAAGAGCTCTTAGTGGGTAATTACATAGCAAGTTTGTGTGCCTAAGTAATCATTGCAACTAGAGTTGTTGGATAGGTGGCTTGCAACCCTTGTAGAGCTAGAGCAAGTTTGCATTACGCTATTTGTCATACTAATCAAATTGCTCTAGTTGATTTGTAGATTTTTAAATAGGCTATTCACCTCCTCCCTCTAGCCATATTAGGACCTTTCAGCAGGGGCGGCACAACGGCCTCCTCCCCCATGGATCCGGGCGCAGACAGCGTGCCTCTCCACCGAGCTCCCTTTCCCTTTTCTCTAATTTGTGTGAATGCATGACTTTTGTCCGATTCCTCTATTTTTCGATTTCTTTTGTGGTGTTGTGGACTTGTGATTGATCTGTGAGATCTAGAGCCCTGTGATTTTTGTTGTTTTTTTCGATTTTTCTTACTGGAATGAGATGAACAAGCTTGAGCTTGCCATGGCCATTGACGCTGCGGATCTGCCTCGAGGCCTCCTCCATGGCTCCATGCACCGCCGCCGCCACCGCGCTCCCGTGCTACCCCTCGCCCCCCACTGCCCCTCCTGTTCTTCCCTTTCCTCTCTCATGCTGCCGACGCGGCCGGCGACCCCCTCAACCTCGACGCCGTTATCGCCTGCTGAAGCGGGCCTTGGGCTGGCCCGACCTCCCTGACAGGCCATGCTTACCGGGCCGGCCCGGCACGAAAAACAGCCCAGCAGGCCGTGCCTGGGCCATCAGCCAGGCACGGCCCGGGAGGCCCGGCGTGCCATGCCGGCCCGACCTCTATCGGGCCGTGCTTTCACTGGCCCGTGCTGCCCGGGCCGGCCCGTTGGCCATCTATATGCACAGGTGCTGCCCTCCAATGAAAAGACTGCATAGCTGGCATTTGTTGCTGTCGCTCAAGGACTTTCAGCTAACTGCGACTTCAGTTGTAGTACAACGGCCTAGCACAAACAAGCGCATGGTTCTTTCTCCGTACCAGAAAAATGTCGACAAAAAGCCTGCATGTGCCACAGAGCTTTCGGCAGAACAATACAAGGAGTCAAGGAGCATGCAGGTGACCACTTTGTCAGAAGCAGCATCTCTCTTAACAATGTGGGGTACAGTACACACAAGCTTCATGTAGTAGTAGTACTATAAAAATATCTGAATCAGTACTGTACAACATCATGCCATATTTCCCCAGTTCAGTTCTGATGCCCTGCACATATTGGACCATGGTTAAATGACAATTACTTTGTGCTGTATCAGTCTTCTTCATCATCATTCATCCATATGTTCTTTCGATCTTTCCAACAGCCGTAGGAAAATATTTGATTATGTTTCTTTGTATGTAGGCGTATCTACTAATCAGCCTGCAACAAGAAAAACTCGATGAAGCAATTCGGGAAGCAAGAGAGAGGCACAAAACAGAGACATTCACATGCCTTTGCCCAAACGAATAGCAACAGGAAACAAGTGGTGGTATCTTCAACAAATTACTTATGTCATCTCTAATACCAAAAAAACTGTTACGGCGTCATGAGATAGAGGACAAGTGATATGTTGGAGATCGCTCTTAAAAAAGGGCGGCACTCAAAAGGCCCGCCGGGGATAGGTGTTCTGTTTATGCTCATCATGCTACTGTCATTCGTTGACCGGGTCAAATGGGCCACACATCAACAATTCAAGTTCGCATATGCTACTGTGGAGTGCTCATGTGAGCTGTGCCGTGAGAGGTAGAAACATCATTATTCTAAGGGGCTCGCAGCTGGACTCAGCATGTGAGGGCGATAAAAAATTTAACCTTGATGGTCGATACATTTTTGTCGGTGAAAAGCTCCAACATAAAGTACTTGACGCAGTTTCAGTGGCCATTAGCCAAGTTTAGAATGATATCTCTAGAATGCAGTGGCGTTATCAGTGGAGATTCGATCTAACTTACCAGGACATATCTGCCACTCAAATTCCAACAGCGTCAAGGAGCTCCGAATGCTGCGACACCGGAACCAGCGTGTTCGCGACGATTGCGCCGCTGGCCGCGACCGCCGGCACTCCGATCCCTGGAAAAGTCGAGTCACCGCAGCAGAAGAGCTGGGGGATTGGTGTTGCTTGCCCAGGGAAAGTGGCTTCTCCAGCTTTTATGGCTGGACCATAGGTTCCCCTATTCCTTCGGAGAAATCTCCTGTGTGTCAGTGGTGTCCCGACCAATTTCACGTCGCATTTTTCACGGCTAAATTTTGGGCCAAGAGCAAGCTCCACAGCTTTCCACATCACCTGAAAAGTTTGCATGGGAATGTCAGTCACAGTCAAGACAACAAAGTTATTACTTCTTACGGACACTCGATAGCGGTCTTCTTTTTGAAAAACGAGAGTCATTTTGATGATTTCTGTGCCAACTTTGGGGCATTTCTCTCTTTTGATATCAGATCTTGCTTAGACGATGCAAATGAGCACGTGCACTTAAGATGCACTTAAGAACTGGACCAATGAGGGTGAACAGATGAGACTTCCAAGAATATATCTAAACTATCCATTTAACTGCTACTATAGGTACTAATAGTGGCAAAGAATCAAAATTGCATCCCTCGTACCTCAGAACGTTCTTCCTTCAATCTTCGATATTCTGCACTTTTCCTGTCCAGTCCCTCCCACAAACTGAAAGGTTCTGTCCCTGGAGTATATGCATGAAGAATGTGCTTTCCAGGTGGTGCCAGGTCCTTACTAAGAACACTAGGAACAGATACCAACACAACATTTTGTTCACCATCAACTCCTTTGTTCCAATCATCAACCACAATGTGATGGATCCCAAGGTCCTCTCTAGCATTCTGATTCAGTAATGTCCAAGGGTTATGGTGAGAGACGGATCACCTATGAGGAAACACGCATCTTTGTTAAAATGATTTGCTAGATTTCACTTCGGACGAAGCATACCTCTGCATCAAAACCAAGGTGGAGATGCATAAACGATTCACATTGTGGAGTTGCTTTCACTCTATCTTCATATGTTTTTGGGACAACATTTGGTGGTAGCAGATCCAAAGTATCCCACATAGATGCATTGCTAACAACCGCTTTCTTTGCACGGACAACCTGCAAAAGGACATAGTTCCCGACAAGATTTCAACAGCTACATCTTTCTTCAAACCATAGGTTGGATGATAGCAGTCACTGAATGAAAAGTTTGTCTAGTGGCTTAGACTGACATGTGGCACAATCAAGCCACTCAAAAACAGATTGCATAAGACAACATGGTGGTAATTTTTTGTGATCTTGGCCTACATGGTCTGCCACTAATTTAAAGGCATGGAGAAAGGCCTAAACTAACTATGATATGCAGTACTGAGGATAACACTTAATTTGCTTTTCACATAGACAAAGGCTATTAATATTGATCACAGTGCATTCCGATCGAAGGCCTTTTATCTTCGATAAAGGAAAAAAATATTGTGAAATGAAACATTAAAACAAAATCATTGTCTATGATAGGCACATGACATCTAAATCAAAGCCATGCTAGTTGTGGCTGTTATTGGCTTTGTGTTCGTGACATATCACTCATTTCCCCACATGTCTCTCTGTCTTCTTTTAGTTCTGAAGGGGCAATATTTTATTTTGCCTGCCAATAAAATATCTTCTAGAGCTTACTTGTCCACTTTGTAGCTTGACACCAACTGCTCGACCATTTTCGATTAAGATCTTTTCAACATGAGAACGAAGAGCAAGTCTGCCACCAAATTTTTCAATACCACTCACGAGGGCATCTATGATTGCTCCAGTTCCACCCAGAGGGTACTCAAGCAAGCATCCTGGTTTGTACCATTCTGCAAACATATAAACCTGAGGGTGTAGTTAGAACAACTAATCTATAATCAAAAGAACACCTCAAAACCTCATCTTTGCACATTTTAAATTATCCAAGCAATTTTGAATGTTCGCGACAGGAGGATCGCCAAGAAAATATGAAGATGTAAAGAAAGATGGACGTTATGGAACAAACAGAAAACAATATGTCAATATCCATCTGATGATTCATCTAACAGTTATTGCTATTCATCACTAGAAAAGCATGCTGCCACCGTACATAGTTCAGTATTAGCACAAATACAATCACTACTGTGGCCATTGCATTTGCTTGGCTTAGAAGCAGATGGTAGTCACTTGCTATACGTCCTGAAATACAGCACCTGGTATATAAATCCTAGGTACGGATATGTTACCATAAAATTGTCACAAGTTTAGATGAATTAGGTGACATAAAAAGCCAATAAGAATAAATTCTTGCCAACACCAGCATATCTATTTAAATGAAATGAAGGGGCAGTATTACAACAATACTCCTATGTTCCCTATCTCCTTTGGCCCTCGCCACCAGAATCTATGCACTGACAGTAGTAGTCACACAGATTCGGAAATAGATTATTACATCTGTCCGATTGATAGGACACAAACTTGTTTAAAACAAACACATAATGCAAGTTTTCGTTAATGCATTTCATGCTCATGCGTATGATCTATTAGTTCTGGATAGTGTCACATCAGGAAAATCCAAATGCACTGCACATTCATTTTGTGTAGTAATGAGGATGCCTCAACCTTAGATTCCCAGATACAAGCAAGGCAACAAATACTGAATTTTCTCACATTCTAAAATGCACAATTTTCATCATGTGCTAAAGTTTGGGAAAGCACTTAACCGGAAGTTTTTGCTGTTGGAACTTAGATTACCATTTCTGCAGAAAGAGCACCATCAGATTTAACTCCAGCAAGTAGAAAGCACAGGAGATCGATCCAATTACGAACAAAGGGATTTTTCAGCCCCAGTGAATCAACAACTTCTTTGAATGGACGTAACAGTTTTGTAGCGCCCAGAGCTCCTTGGGGCCCCATTTGTATGAATGATTTCAACAACGAAGGAGCATATCTACCGGCAGCTGTAGATAGAATGCCCAAATCGCCTCGAATGGAAAGCGGAGGCAAAGCCATTGCAGCTGCAGACATAGGAATAACTGCATCCTGAGATTGTTTTCAGTATGGTATTAGCACACGCTTTAAGGGAATATAAGAGCATCCTAAGTTACAAACTTTGTGTGATATAGTGCATGTGAGTGCTAACACATGAGGATAACAACTAGTCACCTACCTAGTCACCATGCATTGTTCAGTAGTTCAAATTGTTCATCTACATCTAGCAGAGCCTTTACTAAACCCAAGAATCTAAATATGAAGAGAACTCACAAGAAGTTTTTTCCACTCCTGGACAGCGTCAACACCAACAAACATCTCAAGGTCCTGCAGGCATTACAAGTCGCAGGATCCAATCAAGAGTGGGCATCCCAACATAAACAAAATGCTGACAACAGATATTGTTAAATGTGAAGGACCATTGCTACATTTAATAATCTGTGCTGGTCACCTCAGAAAATCTTAGCCAACTAAAGTCTACATAACCCCCCAACGATTTAGGGTGGACTACTTCACCCCCAAACTATAAAACCGGATTTTCTCCCCCCTGAACTTTCCAAAACCGGTCAAATAACACCCCCCCCAAAGCAGTTTTGGACGGTGGGTTGCTACAGTGACGGTGGTTTTGTCTTTTTCTTTTTTATTTATTTCCGCTGAAATTTTGAAAAATCACAGTAAATCACAGAAAAATCATAAAAATGGAAAATTCAATTTTGTTGGACTCCACATGAGTAGATCTACACAGTGAACATATAATATGATATGCTTTAATACAAAGTTTTTGCTGTAGCTTTAGATCTATGTTTTTCTGTAATTAATTGGAATAATTCATAGCTGCAGCTTCTATGGTTCAATTGTGGTGAAATTTTTATGGTGGACTAATTATTGTATGCTTGCACTGTAGTAAAAAATTCATACTCATTGGACCATGTATAACTTAGTTATAGATTTATTCAGGTTTATACTTGTTAAATCTATGCTTTATCTATAATTAAGTTATACATGATCCAATGAGTATAAAATTTTACTATAGTTCAAGCATACAATAATTAGCCCATCATAAAAATTTCACCACAATTGGACCATAGAAGCTGCATTGATGAATTATTCCAATTAATTACAGAAAATCATAGATCTAAAGTTACAACAAAACTTTATACTAAAGCATATCATATTATATGTTCACTGTGTAGATCAACTCATGTAGAGTGCAACAAAATTGGATTTTTATTTTATGATTTTTCTGTGATTTACTATGATTTTTGAAATATTTAGCGGAAATAAATAAAAAAGAAAAAGACAAAACCACTGTCACTGTAACAAAATCCACCATCCAAAACCGCCTGCGGGAGTTATTTGACCGGTTTTGGAAAGTTTAGGGGGTAGAAAATCCGGTTTTATAGTTTGGGGGGTGAAGTAGTCCACCCTGAATAGTTGGGGGGAGAGTTATGTAGACTTTTTCATGCGACAGAAATCTCATGTCCCTCTTTCAATCACCACAACTAAGTGTGCACTGTAGAGCATACAACATCGTAGGGTAATAGGGTTTTGTCCAATATTGAAATGGTCATAAATTGAGCCATGTCTGTCTATCATCCATAAACAACTCTTCTTTGGTTTTTTCATTATTGTCATTATAAGCAAAAAAAAAAGATTTTGAGGATACCCAATAGTTACTAATTAGACAATAATCAAACATGCGAATGTGTACTGAACCAATATGTTGAAAATCAAGAAAATGCACAAGATAAAATTGAGACTGTAGTAATGTACCCAGTGGCCTATTCAAGAAATATTACCTTGAGGAATTCAGTTGGTCCTATCCGTGAGAGGAATTGTCCTTCAGGTACATAAACCATCCAAGAGTCATAAGACGCGCAAGGGACTGATTGGCCTAACGCATCAAGGACCTGAGCCAGGCAAACAAACCAGAACAATTTGAAGCTGTCACATGATCAATATCATTGTCTGTCTTCGTCCATCCAACTACAAAAATGACCAAAGGCTATACACAATGACGTATCACTTGAGGCCACCTGAGCAAGTGGATTTGCCTGGGGGCCTCTGGACTGGAATCCGGAGAACAAGGATGGCCCTGAATCGAAGTTGAAGCCCTTGATATCGAACGAGTGCGCGGCGCCGCCCGGGCGGTCATGGCTCTCGAGCACCAGCACGTCCTGGCCGTACCTCGCCAGGAGGCCGGCACAGCACAGCCCGCCGAGCCCGCTGCCTATCACAACGACGTCCGCCTCCGGCCGCTCCACCGCCCTGGTCGACCGCAGACCAATCAAACCAACGCAACAACGGCGAGGCGATGAGGAGGCGAAGTCTGAAATCCGAATGGTCAGTTTGGTTGCTGCGTTGCGGTCCGTACCCGGAAATCCCGCGGTTCTGGCCCTCGGGGAACGCGGGGTCGGCGGGGCGCTCGTCCGCAGCCACCGCGCGGCAGCGCGCCCTTGGAGCGGCAGCGGCGTTTGCCGAGCGCGCACGCAGACGCGGACGCGGCGAAGGGGCGGCAGCGTGGCCGCCGTGCGGAGGCCGCAGCGCGCGGGAGGCCAATGCCGAGGCGGCCATCTCGGAGTCGCAGAAGCGGAGGGCGACGGCGTCCGGCGAGGCGAAGGCGCTGGGAGACGACGAGCAGCGTGAGGACAGAGGAAGGCGAGGGAGTAGTGCGAGTGAGGCCGCGGCTGGGGACACGTGGCGCCTCGCCGGCCGTTCTCCGTTCGTGGCGGCCGTTGCCTCGTCCAGGCCGGAGCGATGCCACCGCGCCGTGGATCAAAGCCACATGGGCCCATAGAACCTGGGCTTTAGGCCCATATACTAAGAAATTCAGCCCAATGTGTCGATCCGGCCCATTAAACATTTATACTGGGCTCGTCTCGCCGTCGCCGTCGAGGCGAGCTCCGTGGAAGCTTTGCTGCAAGGCCTAGGTCCCTTCGAGGCGGCGGCGGACCGGCAGCTCTCTTCTCGGCTTTGCTTGGGCGGCCGCCTCGTCGCGCACCTGCTGGTGGGCAGTGGCCAGCGGCTGGGCGGTCCGCGGCAGGGGCAGTGCCGCCGCAGCCAGGGGCGTTGTCACGCTCGCACCCACTGAGGCCGGCGGCGGCGGCTCCGCGGCTCGAGTTCGGCGCGTCAGTGCGGCACCGAGCCACCGTCCCACCGAGGAGGCTGGAGCACCGTGCACCGAACAGCGAACAACGGAAGAGGAGCAGCCGAGCAGGTTTGAATACTCTGAGTCTCTGATCGATTGCAGCACCAACTATGAATCAGTTCAGTATTCAATTGGCTTCCCATTTACTGATATTAGATCAGTATTTGATTTTTTTGAAACCCCTTCAATATTGAGAATAAGGGCAAAGTAAGAGAAAGACTAGACTCAGGAATATACGGGTAGAGACAGACAGAACTTCCAACATCTTTTCACTGAAACCTGAATCTTGATCACCAAGATGACGATGGCAACTATTGTTGTTATTGTGAGACAGTGGAGAGCTTGATCGAGTGGTCTGAATAGTTCAGAGATTAAGTGTTGGACTGGAGGTGCACGCCTCCACGCTTACTTTAAATGGTTTGAAGCAAGAGACATAATGACACAATAGCCAGTCTGTCATCCAGTGGTGAAAATAATCAGAAAGGCCAAGCTTTGATTCGTTGAACAAGGGAACAAGGCCATCAGCAACGACTAACGATTATTAATCCATGCAATCTGCTACGCACTTAAGAAATCATCAGAATAATACATACTCAATCCTGCTGATTAAATTAGAGATCAAGATCGTATCAATAACATTGATTAGAATTGCTACTCGCAACCACCAGTTTCACTGTGAGTCCATTTGTGCTCACAGTTGCATCTGCTATATATTATGTGTTATATCTGCTATATATTATGCAATTATAATTGTATGGTAGTATATATGCCAAATACTAAACTTTAGGTTGTTACTTTTTTTTAACCCCCTTCATATCTTTTAATACCCAACCTCAAAATACTGGACCCACCACTATTGCAGGCAGGGGAGAGGTTCCAGCTATGCTCGCCGCGCCGCCGCCGCCGCCGCCTGAGGTGGCGGGTGAGGATGAGAGCAGTTGCCGCGGTGTCTTCATGGAGTTCATGACCAAGTAATTCATCCTCTCTTATGCGAACGGAATCCGTTTCCTTTTTTGACTGAAATTTGTGTTGACCTGAGCTAAGCTGATTCTTCTATCTGTGGCGACACAGGGTTGCTCAGTTCGAGGAGCTCGCTGATTCTGGGGAGCGATTGCTTGGGAGATTTCGTGAGGAGCTTGGTTAGTTACTCTGATATGCTCTCCTTCCTCTTTTGTTGGCACAACTGATATGCCATGGAGGTTCAGTTTATATTATCCACTGGGACGCAATCTTTAACATTGTGATGGTATTATGTACTGTTCACGGTTAATTTTCTGTAATTGTGTTGACTGAGGCACTGAACAATCTTATTGCAGAGTATTTTCGTAGGCAGCAGATTCCTAAGGAATCAGATGTCATGAAGCAGATACTTAAATCCAACTGCACTGTCAGAATGAGGTCCTATATTGAAGCTGGCTGCAGGCTTCACTGCCAAAACATCTCAAACATAAATCAGCGTATGATATATATCTTTGTTAGTGAACAACCCTTTTTATTCTTACATGCTAATGGTTGATATGACGCACTTATTTGAATTCGTTCTGTACATGTTTTTTTCCTGAACGGAAGTAGTACGGACTATGGAAGGTCCTGACTGTAGAGCTTCCTCTTAATTGAGCGGCAGAGCTCCTGCCTTTACTTTAAAAAAAATTTGTGATTTTTGAGCTACTTCTATGTATTCTGCTGTTATTCTTGGATTTCTTGTTGAAGTATGAGTTCTAGACAACATAATTGTTCAATTTTAATGATAATTCCATACCCTTTAATCAGTTTGATATTGATTTTTTCTTTTCCTTGTGCCAGTAAGCTCATGCGAAGATAGACTTAAAGATCATATAAAGAAAGGTACTTGATCTTTGTATCTTATATGAGTTTGTTTATCTTTATCCTGTTCAATATTCACAAGCACTTTTTAGTGCTAAGACCTTGCTGCAATTCTTGTGCAAAGTTTATAGACTGCCTGAGTGGCCAGATGCAGTCAGATTGGCGCAGCAAACGTTTGATTGTGATCCAAAGGAATTTATTCTTATGTTGGACAGTGAAACGTTAACTAATGTATAAAGTGACAATCATAATCCTGCATTTTATGTTATGCAATAATGATAGCACCGTATCAATTTGGTCAAGAACCGTTTTTAGAGACCAACCTATTTGTTAAACTGTTACCGAGTTTGAAGCCTTACACTTGTCATGTTTTGGTCTTTACATGGCTGTTTGGCTCTACGTTTGGCCACAAGTCCCTCCTACCCCTCCCTCCTTAAGAATAGGAAGAAGGGCTGCCTATCTTTCCATTAGTAGACAGAGGGAAAACGTTTGACCAAGATACATGCATCATTGCGATTTTTGTCCTTGGTTCATATTTTAAAGTTGGAGCTATGGGTTTATAATATCACCTTTTTACATGTTTGTGAAACTCTTTGGCTCTAATTGACCTTGTGTTCCTTTTATTTTCTCCTAGTTAAGACTTTGCTTGAAGAGCTGGAATGTCTAGTCGAGAATGTCTATGGCATCACACTAACAGCCAGTTTAAGTGCTCTGGAAGTTTCAGACAGTCAGTGCCTTGACAACATGCTAAGTACCGATTGCTGCTCCATGGAGGTAGACTTTTCTGTTTCCATATTCCTTTTTCTAGTACTTTCAGTGTTCTGTTCATCAGAGAAAAAACTTGCTGTCTGCAATGATGAAGTGAAATGGAAAATGGGTGACAGGGTGTTGCTACACAAGAGGAGGATAAAAGTGCAGATCAGTTGGACACGGATGTATCGTTCGTTACGGTGATGGTCATGGTTCGCAACATGCTGAAGCTTGACTACATGATGCAGGTAAATTAAACCACATCCATGTGCCAGCCAGAATGTGCATTTGCTATCGCACTTTACATTTTGTGGCATCCCAACTCTATTTCTTTCGCCCTCTTGATTAATGAAGGCTGCCGTTCTCTTCTACAGGAAAAGATTGTCAGTGCATTGTCCTTGAAAACACCTTCATCAGAGCTCGAGGGATACTGCCTCATGTTGAATTTACGGCCATACATTGATGACGATGTGATGCGTCTTGCGTGGAAAATGTGTCCCTGAAACTTTGGCGTTCGCGATGGTAGCAAGGGCAAGGGGGTGGATCAAGCAGGAAGTTGTTGCGCAAGACTCAAACGCGATCCTATGAACAGCTGGGCATTGGGTGCTTGGAGTTGTTTCTGCTGGGATGGATCATGGATGTCTGGTCTGTTCATGTGTTTGTAGAAGATTAGAGATTATTCAGCGTGATGTATGCGTGTGTGTTCATGATCATGATTGTGTACTGGAGAAACCCATAGTTTGTCAAATTGGGCCCCTTTTTGAGTTTTTTTTTCCCAGAGAAAGATCCCAAAACTGCTTGTGTCACAGTGCTGCCGCTGCCTTTTTTTCTTTCTTCTCTTCCCTGTCGTTTTCCGAAACCCTGTCGTTTCCTTTTAATTTCTGCATCATCAAGAATTCGCCAGATTCTTTGCTGCCAACTCTGTCGTTCGAGGCGAAGAAATCGTCGCGTGGATCCTCCAGTTTGGGTCAACACTGTGTACTAGAACAGGCTGGAAGTGGAATCCAACCCGGGGTGCCCGCGCACAGCACACGGCACCGGGCTCGTCCTTGGAGGCTTGTCTGCCAGATCGGCCGACGCAAGCGCGGGCGCCGGCGTTGCCTTGCGATGGAGAGCCCCACGTCGACGGCGTCGCGCCCCGACTTCTACGACTTCATCGACCGCATGCGCCGCCCCGCCGCCGCCGACCTCTTCCGCTCCATCAAGAGGTCAGTCAACCCGCCCGCCCCGTGCTCCGGCCTGGACACGCAGGCACGCCCCCCGAAAAATCGTAGCTTGAATCAATCGGTCAATCTAGATTGATTGCTAGATGTAGATAGAGTGAGTAGAAGACACCTGCTTCCTATGGATTTCTCTGACCTGCGGTTAGCTTGGCGCCGGCAGCTTCCTCGTCTCCTTCTCCTTCCTCGAGTCCAATGCTGAGGAGGACGGCAGCAAGGTCCAGGCCTTCCTCGCGGAGATGGAGAGCGCCATCAGGGACCATCCGCTCTGGACCAACGCCACCAGCCAGGAGATCGACCACGCCCTCGAGGTGAAGAAGCCCTGCCCCACTGATCCTTGTTTTTCACCTTCATTGACAAATTTGGGTTCCAGACGCCCTGATGAGTTTTTTTGTGGGCTAGGGCCTGGAGAAGTACGTCATGACCAAATTGTTCGACCGCACGTTTGGGACCTCCACTGAGGATGCCGTTACCGACATGGAGATCTCGGAGAAGATTGGTCTCTTGCAGCAGTTTGTTATGCCTCATCACTTGGATATACCCAAGGTCCTGCATAACGAGGCATCGTGGCTGGTAATTCATTCTGAGCTTCAAGCATTCACAATGCGATTTCAGTCCGTGATGGTTGTCATAAGTTGCAAGGATGGGAGTAATCAATGTATGCCACATTTTAATAGCTTGATTTATCATTACATGTTTGATCGAAATGAAGCCCCAAGATAGTATTACTTGGATACATTTGCCAGCTTCATCAATATTGAAAAGGGTGTCAATTGTCAAGTATTCAGCTCTGTTTTTTTCTGTTATCAATTATGTCCTAGTTGTACTGTGTATTCAAGAAGTTGCTGGTTTTAATCATGTAATATCCATAATTTTAAATTATCCAAATTCCAATGAAAGAAATCATTCCAGTGATACAGCCAAAGCTCATGCTAACCATGACCATACTTTTTCTGCACATGCCACTCTAGCTTGCAGTGAAAGAGTTGCAGAAGATTAATTCCTTCAAAGCACCACGCGAGAAGCTTCTATGCATCATGAGCTGTTGTCAAGTCATCAATAACTTGCTTCTGAACATATCAATGTCAAATGATCGAACATTGTCTGGGGCTGATGAATTCCTTCCTATTCTTATCTATATTACTATCAAGGCAAGCAACTCCTGGCAACTGTTTATTCTTGCTATTTCTTCTTACTGATTGAGTACAACTGAGAAGCTTTCTGAAAAATTGATGTAGGCCAATCCTCCTCAGCTGCACTCCAATCTGAAGTTTGTTCAGCTCTTTAGAAGAGAAACAAAGCTAATTTCAGAAGTCGAATATTATCTGACAAACCTCATTTCAGCAAAGATGTTTATAATAGATGTCAATGCTCGCTCACTATCGATGGAGGAAAGCGAGTTTCAGAATCATATGGAATCGGCAAAGACTAGCTACTCAAGTGTCTGTTGCTAGCCCAAGTAGCTCACAGGGGCTCCCCACATCTGCAAGGGCAAATCAGGAGGAAATTGATATGGCAGGTTTGCTTACTAAATTAGTCAATTTATCCAAAGAAGTTTGCTTGACCATGGGTTTGCATTCCAGTTTTCTCTCACAAAACGGTTCATTTTTTCCATCAAACAAAATGTGGTTTTTTTTTTCAAAGAAAAACATAATGTGGTTTTTATTGTGATCTTGTCCAAGAACCATTTTACCTATCAAATAAAATAAAGTGGTTAGCTCTTGTAGATTTTTTCCTTTAAATGGTTGTTATGCGTTCCAAGCAATTTTCTGGGCTTCAATCCAGTGCTTAATATTATTGAATAATCATAATATTCAAAGTGATACATGTGACAGGTCCCAGATTCCCTTTCATGGATTCAGAAACTGAAAGCTTGACTCCAGGGGAAGTCAAGCAGCTGCATGATCTGTATAGGCAAGTTGTCACAAGATATACACAGCTGTCTAAAGCTTTAAGAAAGTTATCCATAGATGAGGATCAGCTCATTAATTCAGTGCTTGACTCATGAGGTGATGTGAAGATGCTGGTGGTATCAATCATAAGCAGCCTCCATATCCACATTACTCTTGTGCTTGTACAGCGGAGTAAAAACAAGTGAAATCTTGTTTCCATTAGTTGCAGCCTCGTAGGAAAAGAACGAGGTCTTTAGAGTCAATGCATGTCACTAATGCTCCAGCAAGTCCAATGCAATACAGGTATGATCATATAATCTTTTGCATGGATGTCTGCCTTTTTAGTGACCTAAAGAACAGTTCTCTCTGCAATCTCACTGTAGTTCTGATGCTTTCTTGTATGTTCCTCTGTTGGCGCAGGGCACAGCAGCTGTGAGTTGAGCATTACGCATGGGAAGTGCTGCTTTTGCTAATCTTATTCCTGATAGCCTTGGTTCACAACAGTTGTAGCATTGTGGTGCCTGAGCATGGTTACTTCATGACTTATACTTAGGTTGGGGGTCCTTTATTCACCCTGAATGGATCTTCCGAAATCAGTGCTGAAGGAACTGAAAATTGGCGCACATGACATTGCCTGAGTTATTGACTTCTAAACTGTGTTCGATCTGCCACCGGATGTCTCACAGTTTTGGCGTCGATGGGCTTGCTGCAATGGAGAATATGAATTCTAACCTGGAATGTAGGCCAGAAAATCACTACTGGGGCAGGCAGGGATAAAGATGGAGTAACATAGGCTAGGAAAATTCTAAAGCTCGACATACTAAACAACGGCGTATGTTTGTTGATTCCAAATGTTGAGCCTTGAGGTTTGAGAGTTGTAGTGTTGGGGAAAATGTAAGCGTGTCACACTATTTCTTTTCTTCTTTTGATAATAAGGAACAAAATGTATAAACAGAAGATAACTATCTAGAACAGGGCAGTAGTCTCTGTGAAACTTTACAGAAGATAGACTACTGAGGAGAGTGATGTTCTCCAACTTTAGGAGAGTGATGTTGTTGGGATCGCTGCTACTCCCTCTGAGATAGTAATCGTGGAATGTAGGCGGGTGAGGTTTGGGTTCACGGCGGCGGCGTGGGTGCGACGCCGTCCTGGTGGGCGGCGTCGAACACAGGCGAGAGAGACCACGGGGGCACAAGGGGAGCAGGAGAGATTAACTCAATCTCCAGCTATCTTCTCATTAAGCAAGTTGTCGGTTATCGATATTAGGGATACCCAAAGCAAGGAAGTTAGCGTCCACGCTGACTTCCCGATGGCTCGAGACGTGGTTTTCATCTCGCCCGACCCCAAGGACGCGGTTTCCGCCTCGCCCGACCTCGAGGACGCGGGCTTCGTCTCGCCCGACCTTGAGGCCGTGGACTCCGTCTCGCCCGACCCCTTGGGTGCGGGCTTCGTCTCGCCCGACCTCGAGGACGCGGGCTCTGTCTTGCCCGATCTTGAGGCCGCGGGCTCCGTCTCGCCCGACCCCTTGGGTGCGGGTTCCGTCTCGCCTGACCTCGAGGACGCGAGCTCCGTCTCGCCCGACCTCGAGGCCGCAGGCTCCGTCTCGCCCGACCCCAAGGACGCGGTTTCCATCTCGCCCGACGGGGACCCATACCGCCACCAACCACTCCAGGTCCAAGCGTATGGGCCTAGGTCAAAACTCTTACGCCAGGGAAGAGGCTGGCACGCCTCGATGTAACCCGTGGCCATGACGGGCTATATCTAGGGATTCACATCAAGAACAGTGTCGGACATGCCTGTGCTGTTTTGCCTAATACTCATACGGACGCTGACAGGCGCGTCAGTTCACCACGACGTCCGCCGGGACGGAGTGAAACGCCATGACCAGCAAATGACGCCTGCGCGTGGCGCCAGTGACGAACAGGGCCACGACATGGAGCAGTCCCTATTGACATCTACAGGATCAGCGAGACCCGCATGAAGGGGAAGAAGGACCCGGCAACCCTGGAAGCCTTCTTCTCTCTCGTTCTTCTCCTTTTCCTCCTCTGTAACCCACGTTTTTCCTTTGCCTATAAAAGGGGAAGCAAGGTGCCCCACACGGGGGATGAAAAAAACACAAGAGCACGACACAACCACATGACTGAGGGGCAATCGAGCTCTCAGCACTCATTCACTCCTTCCACCAGAGACTTAAGATCCTTTCCCTCTCTTGTCTGTTTGTAACCCCTACTGCAAACCAAGTGCCGGTAACACGAGCAGCAGCGAACTGGACATAGGGACGTTCCACCTGAACCAATATAAACCCTTGTGTCCTCCGAGCACACCATCCGAGCTAGACGCACAAATATAAATTTACTCGTCGGTGGTCCGAAAACATCGACAGTTGGCGCG